ACGCATGGTTCTGTGCGGACCCGCTACGGTTCTTAGCGGGAAAATTGTTATCTCGGGAACCAGACAAGCGGGAAGGCTAAAATTTTAACGGAATGTTCCTTGCCCAAGTGTCGTGCAGTTACACAATTAACTTTCCGAACTTCGAGGACCACTATATCACAAATTCTAGCGATCGGGATTTCAAGCGTTCCTATTGCAGCATGAAATACTGCTGCAAACTCATGATCGCACGGGCCCGCTTGATGCGCGTCACCAGTGATTAATCCCTGTGCTGAGACAATACTGCGCCGGACAGGCAGCTGTCCAGAGTGACTTTTCCAGCTCAGCTTGACCAACGCGGAAGTGCACATGGACGGCATGAAATTCACATGCCGCTGCTCATCGAACGGCTCCAAGATGGCTCTCTGACTCACATTCGCATTGCGGATAACATTACACAGGGCCAGAGGGACGAGGTGTGCTCGACAACGAGGCGCCGAAGACGTCACTGATCGGAATTCAAATGTTGCATTCCAAAGCCGAACAATGCGGAACTGGACAGTGCAGTGATTCCTGCTCCAGAATTTTAGCTAAGCACTCCCATACTTGTCAAATGACCCGCACCCACTATCGGTGACGCAGATGTACCTGTAACATCGTCATTCTTCTCTGTTTTGGGCCTCTCTCTTCCATCGAGTCGTTCGAGCGTACTCGCTGGCGGCTTCTTTCAGTATTGCCTGAGGTACTCTCAGAGCACGTGAGTTGTCCAACTGACTTCTCTCCCGCACGATGAGAGCAGCAGTACTCGCCTGTTTCTGGCACACGCTAGCGCTACACGATCTGCTGTTGGCTACCGGTCATGTCTACCACTATCCCCTCCTTCACTGCCACGTAGCAGTGAGTTATGCAGGGACGTCATTTGCATAACGCGGCCCGTTGCCTAACGAGATGCGGTTGCCGCTGGTTCTCACCTGGGCCAGTTCTCAGTGCAGCTGGTTACAGTTCCCTTGGGCGCTATGGCGTGCGATTTCCGCTGTACGATGTTTTCGTTTGCTGTTTGATGCCACTTATATGTCGTTCGGTAAGGGTCTGAAATGACGCAGGCGTCGGTATTTCATCACTTCTTCCCATTCTTTTGTGTCTGTCTGCATGCATATTAGGCCAGTAATAATGAGTGTAGACTTCTCAAGGGGACAGGGCTACGAAGGCCACATTTCACCCACGAGCAAACCCAAACAAGCTCCGGCGCCAAAATTTTGCCAGTGGCTTCCTCAGCCAAGTGTCACCCCAGGATCGCGCTACCAACCCTCACGCAACCCCGGCCCCCCCGTACGAGGGAGTGAAAGTTTTGGCGGGGAAATCGCTAACTTGAGAACCAAGGAAGCTAGAAGGCTGAAATTTTGAGGTTGAGTTCCCTATCCGCATAGAACTCAAAGATTTCAAATTCAGCCCCCAGGTATGCTTGGTTCCCGCGTATGCCTCGTGAGAGTTCCTGGCACGAAAATGGCTAACTCGGGAACCAGGAAAATTGGGGAGCTGAAATTCTCAGGGAATGTTACCAGCACAAGTACAGTTATAAAATTCAGCCCTTTAGTTTGTGTGGGACTCACATATGGCCCCGTAAAAATTTTTGGTGGGAAAATTGCTAACTCATGAACCAGAAAATTTGGGAAGCTGAAATTTGAACAGAATGTTCCCTGTCCAAATACCGCGTAGACTATAAGTTTCCCGGGCTTCGAGGATCAGTATATTGAATATTTCTGTCTACTGGGTTTCCGAGCGATCTCACTACAGCACGAAACATTGCAAAAACGCATGGTCGCACTGGCCCACCTGGTGCGCGTCGCCAGTGATTATTATTATTATTAAAATTATTGTTAAGGCATACACTGCTACTATTACTGTTCTGTTTGCACTTTCTATCATTTATATCAAAGCTCTACATGAACAATTAAAAGGTGAAAAATGCAACAAGTATCACCATTCTGCATCAGCAGGAAAAGCACTTTTTAAGTCCAAACTCTGACGGGGGAGGGATTCTGGCCTGGCGTCGTGTGATTCTGATGGAGAATGTGCAGGGACTCCGCAGTCTGCACACTCCGTCTCTTCTCACTTCCGAATTTATCACGAGCTTGTGAGGCCCTGCTGCTGATCCTGCTCTGTTCTGTGTTTTACAACTAAGTGGTGCTAACGCAGACTGCTCTTCCGTACGTCCATCGGCTCATGAAATCGACCCCTGCGAGCCTTCACTTTGGTCGGCTGCGGGCCCTTTAATAATTAGGTCATCGCCTGCAGGCAAGCTGCTCCCTTATCTTCGTTCAGCCTGTTACTTGGAATAAACAGTGTTGTTGTCGGTGCTGCAACTGCTCTCACACTTGCATGTTTCAGCTTACTTAACATCACAGTGAGCATCCGACTGTCCATGGCATACTCAAGCACCCCGCCGTATGTGCCAGCAGTTCCGTGGAAACAGGCTCGAAACCTGACACGAGTCCATAGCCGAAATGAATGAATGAGTTCTAGGGGAATGATTTTCCCACGCCAGCGGTGGGAGCCGTCCACGGGGCTGCCACATCATCAGACCTATCAGCCTTGCATTTACCAGT